AAATCGTTTAGTCAATATGTTTTTAACGTAAATGCAGAAACCGTCCGAAGATTCGTTTGAGAAATTCGGATACATTTTGCAAAGCAAATTTCTGTCTTCGCGTAATGAAGTTGCGTTTTGTGTGGGCAATTCCTTTTTTCCTTAATTTTGGAACTAATCCAGTTTTATATAAACATATTTTGAACTGGTTCTTTGTGACCAAGTCAATGAAAGCATACAAATTGTATTACGCGCAGAAGTCGCTTAATGTCAATTTTTAAATATTATTTTTAGGGCTATAATACGGAAAAGAATTTACTGTCAAACTCGCTTTTTCCTTTAATCGACATAATTTTGTCCGAATTCACACATAATTTTAATTTGTATATGTAGAGCTAATTTTCCGTAGAATATTAGTAAATGGTTAGGCAAATTGCGGAACTAGTGAGGGTAACACTAAGTAAGAAATGTATATTTCACGTTCGCGAATATTTTACGTATACTTGATTAATTGGAAACTATGTATTTCTTTCCAACTACAGCAATTCATAAACGGGTAGAGAACTACGCTTTTCATTTGGTATATTAGCGCAAACAAATATTAATCCTTCTAAAATAATTTTGTGCAATTACTGATGTCTGCGTATTCTAATTGCATGGAGTACTCGGGCAATCTTTTAATTTGTTTCTTTTGTTATGATAAAAGCACAAAAACGATTTTACATATTTCTAAAAACGAAACATTGCGACAGCTACATGGCCTTTAGTTTAAGCTAAAGAAGTATATGGAATTGTGTAAGTGGAGTGTAACAGAAAGTCGTCGATTATTCTTAAATCAGTTTTCTATCTTCACGTAAAAGAGCTATTTTTTTCGTGCTCGATATTTACTGCTATATTTCCAAAACGTTTCAACACGCGTAATATCACTGTTTTGAATAAAAATTTATAATAATGCTGGTTGACGATAAATGTTTAATAGTATATGGGTTTAATTTTAGTTTTTTGAATGCGATAATATTAAATGCCTTCGTTTATTATTTCCAGCTATTAGGTTGAGGTAACGTGTTCTTTAACCTGGTGTTTGTCTTAAAAGAGAACATTTAATTATGCTATAAACACATTCTATTTTATGTATTCTGATTAATGCATTCGACAACCGGAAGAAAATATGCATACGCTTAATTGAATCTAGAAGTATGACTTTCTGAAATTCAAGTGCTCAGTGTTATTCTTTAGTATTATTTAGATGTACATTTGATCCTACGAAGACCTTTGTGTAAAAGCAATCAAAAGTCTTATAGTTTTCTTAAGTTGAATAAAAATACATATAACGTTTTGTTTTATCATAGTATGCAACTGTGGGACAAATGCCGAAAGCTGTGCATTTAATCCTCAAGGAGAGAAAGTGTGCACATGTAAACCAAACTATGAAGAAAAAGATGGAACTTGTGAAGGTACCGTTCCTATTTTCAATTAAAATAAGTACGTATATAATAATACAAAATTACGAAATATGTGTATTAGCCAAAGTGTCAGAAATTTCTAAGAATAACGTTAACACACTTACATTTCTTCAAGAGAAGACGTGAATTTCCTTCTCTCCAAATTAGCTCATATACGTTAACAAAATTTTAAGAGCAAAGGTTTGTTCTAACAGCATTTCCTATAAAATATACAGAATAGCGTAGTCTGTGACATTATGTATGCAAATATAATTTACATAACAATCTAATACGACAAACTTCTATAGAAATCGATAGTCTGTGACAATATGTATTATAATTACATAACGATTCTAGTCGCGACTGAAAGGATTATAGTAAATATTTTAGAGTTACATTATTCAATATGTGGACGCCAAAATTAGGAATTCTAAAAAAAATTCAATTTGTCCCCAAATAAATATCTCGAATAAAATGTAATTATTCTTAATGTAGGTTGCTCACGATATATGATCCTTCGAGCACTAGCGAAGCGATATACAAAAAAATATTAAAATATTTCTTCTCGCCAATCCTTTCCTATCACCGTTTTATACTTTAAAGCGTATTTAGATATGAAATGTTCTTCTAAACGAGCACTGAAAATGACTTGCGAGTAAGTTCCGCCAAATATATCCTATGTGTGTATACTTTTTTTGTGTCTTTATTTAAAATGGATGTGCGGCCAAAATGGCAGTATTTATGAGAGCGGAGTTTAAGGACTAAAACTCTATTCTGGCAAATGTGCTTTTGCACAAATCGGAGTAAATCGTTTAGTCAATAATGTTTTATTTGAGGTAAATACAGAAACACGTCCGACGAAATCGTTTGAGAAATTCGTATACATTTTACAAAGCAAATTTCTGTCTTCGCGCAATGAAGTTGCGTTTTGTGTGGGCAATTTATTTTTCCTAATTGAGATAATTTAAGCAATTAATTTGGCACTAATCCAGTTTTATATAAACATAGTTAGAACTGTGTTCCTCTGTGACAACTCTATCAAAGCATACAAATTGTATTAACGCGCAGAAGTCGCTCAATGTCAATTTTTAAATATTATTTTTTGGGCTATAAAAGGGAAAATAATTTACTCTCAAACTCGCTTTTCCTTTAATCGACATAATTTTGTCCGAATCACACATAATTTTAATTTATATATGTAGAGCTAATTTTTCCGTAGAATATTAGTAAAGGTTAGGCAAATTTTGGAACTAGTGAGGTAACACTAAGTAAGAGATGTATATTTCACGTTCGCGAATATTTTACGTATACTTGATTAATTGGAAACTATGTATTTCCTTCCAACAACAGCAACTCATAAAACGGGTAGAGAACTATGCTTTTCATTTTTGTATATTTAGCGCAAACAAAATATAATCCTTCTTAAAATAATTTTCTGTGCAATTACTGATGTCTGCGTATTCTAATTTCATGGAGTACTCGCGCAATCTTTTAATTTGCTTTTCTTTTGTTATGATAAAAAGCACAAAAACGATTTTACATATTTCAAAAAACGAAACATTTGCGACAGCTACATGGCCGTTAGTTTAAGCTAAAGAAGTTTATGGAATTTGTAAAGTGGAGTGTAACAGAAAGTCGTCGATTTATTCTTAAAATCAGTTTTCTATCTTCACGTAAAAGAATTTTTTTCCGTGCTCGATATTTACTGCTATATTTCCAAAACGTTTCAACACGCGCCAATATCAACTGTTTTGAATAAACATTTATATAATAATGCTGGTTGACGATAAATGTTTAATAGTATATGGGCTTTAATTTTAGTTTTTTTGAATGCGATAATATTAAATGCCTTCGTTTATTATTTCCAGCTATTAGGTTGACGGTAACGTTTTCTTAACCTGGTGTTTGTCTTAAAAGAGAACATTTAATTATGTTATAAACACATTCTATTTTATGTATTCTGATTAATGCATTCGACAACCGGAAGAGAAATATGCATACGCTTAATTTAATCTAGAAGTATGACTTCCTGAAATTCAAGTGCTCAGTGTTTTGCTTTAGTATTATTTAGATGTACATTTGATTCCTAAGAAGACCTTCGTGAAAAAAAGCAATCAAAAGTCTTATAGTTTTTTCTTAAGTTGAATAAAAATACATATAACGTTTTGTTTTATATCATAGTATGCAACTGTGGGACAAATGCCGAAAGCTGTGCATTTAATCCTCAAGGAGAGAAAGTGTGCACATGTAAACCAAACTATGAAGAAAAGATGGAACTTGTGAAGGTACCGTTCCTATTTTCAATTAAAATAAGTACGTATATAATAATACAAAATTACGAAATATGTGTATTAGCCAAGTGTCAGAAATTTCTAAGAATAACGTTAACACACACTTACATTTCTTCAAGAGAAGAAGTGAATTTCCTTTCTCCCAAATTAGCTCATATACGTTAACAAAATTTTAAGAGCAAAGGTTTGTTCTAACAGCAATTTCTATAGAAAATATACAGAATATCGATAGTCTGTGACAATTATGTATACAAACTTATAATTTACATAACGATTCTAGTCGCGACTGAAAGGATTATAGTAAATATTTTAGAGTTACATTATTCAATATGTGGACGCCAAATTTAGGAATTAAAAAATTTCATTTTTCCCAAAAAAATATCTCGAATAAAAGTTAATTATTCTTAATGTAGGTTGCTCACGATATATGATCCTTCGAGCACTAGAGAAGCGAAGATATAACAAAAATATTAAAATATTTCTTCTCGCCAATCCTTTCCTATCACCGTTTTTTATGCTTTAAAGCGTATTTAGATATGAAATGTTCTTCTCTAAACGAGCACTGAAAATGACCTTGCCGAGGTAAGTTCCGCCAAATATATCCTATGTGTGTATACTTTTTGTGTCTATATTTAAAATGGATGTGCGGCCAAAATGGCAATATTTATGAGAGCGGAGTTTAAAGACTAAAACTCTATTCTGGCAAATGTGCTTTTGAACAAATCGGATTAAATCGTTTAGTCAATAATGTTTTATTTAACGTAAATACAGAAACACGTCCGACGAAATCGTTTGAGAAATTCGTATACATTTTGCAAAGCAAATTTCTGTCTTCGCGTAATGAAGTTGCGTTTTGTGTGGGCAATTCCTTTTTTTCTTTAATTTTGCGCTAATCCAGTTTTATATAAACATATTTTGAACTGTGTTCCTCTGTGACAAGTCTGTGAAAGCATACAAATTGTATTAACGCGCAGAAGTCGCTCAATGTCAATTTTTAAATATTATTTTTGGGCTATAATACGGAAAAGAATTTACTGTCAAACTCGCTTATCCTTTAATCGACATAATTGTGACCGATTCACACATAATTTTAATTTATATATGTAGATATAATTTTTCGCCGAATATTGGATAGAGGTCAGGCAAATTGCCTAACTAGTGAGGAAACACAAAGTAAGAAATGTATATTTCACGTTCGCGAATATTTTCGTCAAACTTGCTTAATTGGAAACCATGTATTTCCTTCCAACAACAGCAATTCATAAAACGTGTAGAGAACTACGCTTTTCATTTTTGCGTATATTTAGCGCAAACAAATATTAATCCTTCTTAAAATAATTTTCTGTGCAATTACTGATGTCTGCGTATTCAAATTTCATGGAGAACTCGGGCAATCTTTTAATTTGTTTCTTGTTTGTTATGATAAAAGCACAAAACGATTTTACATATTTCAAAAAACGAAAAATTTGCGACAGCTACATGGCCGTTAGTTTAAGCTAAATGCAAGGATATGGAATTTGTGAAAGTGGAGTGTAACAGAATGTCGTCGATTTATTCTTAAATCAGTTTTCTATCTTCACGTAAAAGAGCTATTTTTTCCGTGCTCGATATTTACTGCTATATTTCCAAAAACGTTTCAACACGCATTTAGCCAATATCAACTGTTTTGAATAAACATTTATATAATAATGCTGGTTGACGATAAATGTTTAATAGTATATGGGCTTAATTTTAGTTTTTTTGAATGCGATAATATTAAATGCCTTCGTTTATTATTTCCAGCTACTTAGGTAGGATGAACGTGTTTCTTAACCTGGTGTTTGTCTTAAAAGAGAACAATTTAATTATGTTATAAACACATTCTATTTTATGTATTCTGAGAAATGCATTCGACAACCGGAAGAGAATATGCATACGCTTAATTGAATCTAGAAGTATGACTTCCTGAAATTCAAGTGCTCAGTGTTTTGCATTTAGTATTATTTAGATGTACATTTGATTCCTAAGAAGACCTTCGTGTAAAAAGCAATCAAAAGTCTTATATTTTTTCTTAACTTGAATAAAAATACATATAACGTTTTCTTTTATATCATAGTATGCAACTGTGGGACAAATGCCGAAAGCTGTGCATTTAATCCTCAAGGAGAGAAAGTGTGCACATGTAAACCAAACTATCAAGAAAAAGATGGAACTTGTGAAGGTATTGTTCCTATTTTCAATTAAAATAAGTACGTACATAATAATAGAAAATTACGAAATATGTGTATTAGTAAAGTGTCAGAAATTTCTAAGAATAACGTTAACACACTTACATTTCTTCAAGAGAAGAAGTGAATTTCCTTCCTCCCAAATTAGCTCATATACGTTAACAAAATTTTAAGAGCAAAGGTTTGTTCTAACAGCAATGTTTCTATAGAAAATATACAGAATATCGATAGTCTGTGACAATTATGTATACAAATTTATAATTTACATAACGATTCTAGTCGCGACTGAAAAGGATTATAGTAAATATTTTTAGAGTTACATTATTCAATATGTGGACGCCAAATTTAGGAATAATAAAAAAATTCATTTTTCCCCAAATAAAATATCTCGAATAAAATGTAATTATTCTTAATGTAGGTTGCTCACGATATATGATCCTTCGAGCACTAGAGCGAAGATATAACAAAAAATATTAAAATATTTCTTCTCGCCAATCCTTTCCTATCACCGTTTTATACTTTAAAGCGTATTTAGATATGAAATGTTCTTCTAAACGAGCACTGAAAATGACCTTGCGAGATAAGTTTCCGCCAAATATATCCTATGTGTGTATAATTTTTTTGTGTCTTTATTTAAAATGGATGTGCGGCCAAAATGGCAATAGTTATGAATGCGGAGTTTAAGGAGTAAAACGTGTATTCTGGCAAGTGTACTTTTGAACAAATCGGATTAAATCGTTTAGTCAATAATGTTTTATTTAATGTAAATACAGAAACACGTCCGACGATATCGTTTGAGAAATTCGGATACATTTTGCAAAGCAAATTTCTGTCTTCGCGTAATGAAGTTGCGTTTTGTGTGGGCAATTCCTTTTTTCTTTAATTTTGCACTAATCCAGTTTTATATAAACATATTTTGAACTGCGTTCTTTTATGACAAGTCAATGAAAGCGTACGAATTGTATTAATGCGTAGAAGTCGCTCAATGTCAATTTTTAAGTGTTATTTTTTGGGATATTATATGGAAAATAATTTACTGTCAAACTCGCTTATCCTTTAATCGACATAATTGTGACCGATTCACACATAATTTTAATTTATATATGTAGAGCTATAATTTTTCGCCGAATATTAGTAGAGGTTAGGCAAATTTCGGAACTAGTGAGGTAACACTAAGTAAGAGATGTATATTTCACGTTCGCGAATATTTTACGTCATACTTGATTAATTGGAAACTATGTATTTCCTTTCCAACAACAGCAATTCATAAAACGGGTAGAGAACTACGCTTTTCATTTTTGTATATTTAGCGCAAACAAATATAATCCTTCTTAAAATAATTTTCTGTGCAATTACTGATGTCTGCGTATTCAAATTTCATGGAGAACTCACGGCAATCTTTTAATTTGCTTCTTTTTGTTATGATAAAAGCACAAAAACGATTTTACATATTTCTAAAAAACGAAAAATTTGCGACAGCTACATGGCCGTTAATTTAAGCTAAAGAAGTTTATGGAATTTGTAAAGTGGAGTGTAACAGAAATGTCGTCGATTTATTCTTAAATCAGTTTTCTATCTTCACGTAAAAGAGCTATTTTTTCCGTGGTCGATATTTACTGCTATATTTCCAAAACGTTTCAACACGCATTTAGCCAATATCAACTGTTTTGAATAAACATTTATATAATAATGCTGGTTGACGATAAATGTTTAATAGTATATGGGTTTAATTTTAGTTTTTTGAATGCGATAATATTAAATGCCTTCGTTTATTATTTCCAGCTACTTAGGATGAGGTAACGTGTTTTCTTAACCTGGTGTTTGTCTTAAAAGAGAACAATTTAATTATGTTATAAACACATTCTAATTTTATGTATTCTGATTGAAATGCATTCGACAACCGGAAGAGAATATGCATACGCTTAATTGAATCTAGAAGTATGACTTCCTGAAATTCAAGTGCTCAGTGTTATGCATTTAGTATTATTTAGATGTACATTTGATTCCTAAGAAGACCTTCGTGTAAAAGCAATCAAAAGTCTTATAGTTTTTCTTAAGTTGAATAAAAATACATATAACGTTTTGTTTTATATCATAGTATGCAACTGTGGGACAAATGCCGAAAGCTGTGCATTTAATCCTCAAGGAGAGAAAGTGTGCACATGTAAACCAAACTATGAAGAAAAAGATGGAACTTGTGAAGGTACCGTTCCTATTTTCAATTAAAATAAGTACGTATATAATAATAGAAAATTACGAAATATGTGTATTAGCCAAGTGTCAGAAATTTCTAAGAATAACGTTAACACACTTACATTTCTTCAAGAGAAGAAGTGAATTTTCCTTCCTTCCAAATTAGCTCATATACGTTAACAAATTTTAAGAGCAAAGGTTTGTTCTAACAGCAATTTTCTATAGAAAATATACAGAATATCGATAGTCTGTGACAATTATGTATGCAAATTTATAATTGATATTTACATAACGATGTGATAACGTGATAGATATATTGTGAAATATGTATCATTATAATTTACATAACGATTCTAGTCGCGACTGAAAGGATTATAGTAAATATTTTAGAGTTACATTATTCAATATGTGGACGCCAAAATTAGGAATAATAAAAAACTCATTTTTGTCCCCAAATAAATATCTCGAATAAAATGTAATTATTCTTAATGTAGGTTGCTCACGATATATGATCCTTCGAGCACTAGAGGAAGCGAAGATATAACAAAAATATTAAAATATTTCTTCTCGCCAATCCTTTCCTATCACCGTTTTATACTTTAAAGCGTATTTAGATATGAAATGTTCTTCTAAACGAGCACTTAAAATGATCTTGCAAGGTAAGTTCCGCCAAATATATCCTATGTGTGTATACTTCTTGTGTCTTTATTTAAAATGGATGTGCGGCCAAAATGGCAATATTTATGAGAGCGGAGTTTAAGGACTAAAACTGTATTCTGCCAAATGTGCTTTTGAACAAATCGGTTAAATAAATCGTTTAGTCAATAATGTTTCATTTAACGTAAATGCAGAAACACGTCCGACGAAATCGTTTGAGAAATTCGTATACATTTTGCAAAGCAAATTTCTGTCTTCGCGTAATGAAGTTGCGTTTTGTGTGGGCAATTCCTTTTTCTAATTAATTTTTGCAACTAATCCATTTTTATATAAACATATTTAGAACTGTGTTCCTTTTGTGACAAGTCTGTGAAAGCGTACGAAATTGTATTAACGCGCAGAAGTCGCTTAATGTCAATTTTTAAATATTATTTTTAGGGCTATATACGGGGAAAAGAATTTACTGTCAAACTCGCTTTTCCTTTAATCGACATAATTGTTGTCCGAATCACACATAATTTTAATTTGTATATGTAGAGCTAATTTTTCCGCCGAATATTGGATAAGGTTAGGCAAATTTCGGAACTAGTGAGGTAACACTAAGTAAGAGATGTATATTTCACGTTCGCGAATATTTTACGTAAACAACTTGATTAATTGGAAACTATGTATTTCCTTTCCAACAACAGCAACTCATAAAACGGGTAGAGAACTACGCTTTTCATTTTTGTATATTTAGCGCAAACAAAATATAATCCTTCTTAAAATAATTTTCTGTGCAATTACTGATGTCTGCGTATTCTAATTTCATGGAGTACTCACGGCAATCTTTTAATTTGCTTCTTTTTGTTATGATAAAAGCACAAAAACGATTTTACATATTTCAAAAAACGAAACATTTGCGACAGCTACATGGCCGTTAGTTTAAGCTAAAGAAGTTTATGGAATTTGTGAAAGTGGAGTGTAACAGAAAGTCGTCGATTTATTCTTAAATCAGTTTTCTATCTTCACGTAAAAGAATATTTTTTCCGTGCTCGATATTTACTGCTATATTTCCAAAAACGTTTCAACACGCATTTAGCCAATATCAACTGTTTTGAATAAACAATTTATATAATAATGCTGGTTGACGATAAATGTTTAATAGTATATGGGTTTAATTTTAGTTTTTTGAATGCGATAATATTAAATGCCTTCGTTTATTATTTCCAGCTATTAGGATTGAGGTAACGTGTTCTTAACCTGGTGTTTGTCTTAAAAGAGAACATTTAATTATGTTATAAACACATTCTATTTATGTATTCTGATTAATGCATTCGACAACCGGAAGAGAATATGCATACGCTTAATTGAATCTAGAAGTATGACTTCCTGAAATTCAAGTGCTCAGTGTTTTTACATTTAGTATTATTTAGATGTACATTTGATCCTAAGAAGACCTTCGTGTAAAAGCAATCAAAAGTCTTATATTTTTTCTTAAGTTGAATAAAAATACATATAACGTTTTGTTTTATATCATAGTATGCAACTGTGGGACAAATGCCGAAAGCTGTGCATTTAATCCTCAAGGAGAGAAAGTGTGCACATGTAAACCAAACTATGAAGAAAAAGATGGAACTTGTGAAGGTACCGTTCCTATTTTCAATTAAAATAAGTACGTATATAATAATACAAAATTACGAAATATGTGTATTAGCCAAGTGTCAGAAATTTCTAAGAATAACGTTAACACACTTACATTTCTTCAAGAGAAGAAGTGAATTTCCTTTCTCCCAAATTAGCTCATTTACGTTAACAAAATTTTAAGAGCAAAGGTTTGTTCTAACAGCAATTTTCTATAGAAAATATACAGAATATCGATAGTCTGTGACAATTATGTATACAAACTTATAATTTACATAACGATTCTAGTCGCGACTGAAAGGATTATAGTAAATATTTTAGAGTTACATTATTCAATATGTGGACGCCAAAATTTAGGAATTAAAAAACTCATTTTTCCCCAAATAAAAATATCTCGAATAAAAGTTAATTATTCTTAATGTAGGTAGCTCACGATATATGATCCGTTCGAGCACTAGAGGAAGCGAAGATATAACAAAAAATATTAGAAATATTTTCTTCTCGCCAATCCTTTCCTATCACCACCGTTTTATACTTTAAAGCGTATTTACATATGAAATGTTCTTCTAAACGAGCACTCAAAATGACCTTGCGAGATAAGTTCCGCCAAATATATCTAAGTGTGTATAATTTTTGTGTCTTTATTTAAAATGGATGTGTGCGGCCAAAATGGCAATAGTTATGAATGCGGAGTTTAAGGAGTAAAACTGTATTCTGGCCAAATGTGCTTTTGAACAAATCGGATTTAAATCGTTTAGTCAATAATGTTTCATTTAACGTAAATGCAGAAACACGTCCGACGAAATCGTTTGAGAAATTCGTATACATTTTGCAAAGCAAATTTCTGTCTTCGCGTAATGAAGTTGCGTTTTGTGTGGGGCAATTCCTTTTTTCTTTAATTTTTGCAACTAATCCATTTTCATATAAACATATTTAGAAACTGTGTTCCTTTGTGACAAGTCTGTGAAAGCATACAAATTGTATTAACGCGCAGAAGTCGCTTAATGTCAATTTTTAAATATTATTTTTTGGGCTATAATACGGAAAAGAATTTACTGTCAAACTCGCTTTTCCTTTAATCGACATAATTTTGTCCGAATCACACATAATTTTAATTTGTATATGTAGAGCTATAATTTTTCCGCCGAATATTAGATAAGGTTAGGCAAATTTCGGAACTAGTGAGGTAACACTAAGTAAGAGATGTATATTTCACGTTCGCGAATATTTTACGTATACTTGATTAATTGGAAACTCATGTATTTCCTTCCAACAACAGCAATTCATAAAACGGGTAGAGAACTACGCTTTTCATTTTTGTATATTTAGCGCAAACAAAATATAATCCTTCTTAAAATAATTTTCTGTGCAATTACTGATGTCTGCGTATTCAAATTTCATGGAGAACTCGGGCAATCTTTTAATTTGCTTCTTTTTGTTATGATAAAAGCACAAAAACGATTTTACATATTTCTAAAAAACGAAACATTTGCGACAGCTACATGGCCGTTAGTTTAAGCTAAAGAAGGATTATGGAATTTGTAAAGTGGAGTGTAACAGAAAGTCGTCGATTTATTCTTAAATCAGTTTTCTATCTTCACGTTAAAAGAATTATTTTTTCCGTGGTCGATATTTACTGCTATATTTCCAAAAACGTTTCAACACGCATTTAGCCAATATCAACTGTTTTGAATAAACAATTTATATAATAATGCTGGTTGACGATAAATGTTTAATAGTATATGGGTTTAATTTTAGTTTTTTTGAATGCGATAATATTAAATGCCTTCGTTTATTATTTCCAGCTATTAGGTTGACGGTAACGTGTTCTTAACCTGGTGTTTGTCTTAAAAGAGAACATTTAATTATGTTATAAACACATTCTATTTATGTATTCTGATTAATGCATTCGACAACCGGAAGAGAATATGCATACGCTTAATTGAATCTAGAAGTATGACTTCCTGAAATTCAAGTGCTCAGTGTTTTGCTTTAGTATTATTTAGATGTACATTTGATTCTAAGAAGACCTTCGTGTAAAAAGCAATCAAAAATCTTATATTTTTTCTTAAGTTGAATAAAAATACATATAACGTTTTGTTTTATATCATAGTATGCAACTGTGGGACAAATGCCGAAAGCTGTGCATTTAATCCTCAAGGAGAGAAAGTGTGCACATGTAAACCAAACTATCAAGAAAAGATGGAACTTGTGAAGGTACCGTTCCTATTTTCAATTAAAATAAGTACGTATATAATAATACAAAATTACGAAATATGTGTATTAGCCAAGTGTCAGAAATTTCTAAGAATAACGTTAACACACTTACATTTCTTCAAGAGAAGAAGTGAATTTCCTTTCTTCCCAAATTAGCTCATATACGTTAACAAAATTTTAAGAGCAAAGGTTTGTTCTAACAGCAATTTTCTATAGAAAATATACAGAATATCGATAGTCTGTGACAATTATGTATACAAATTTATAATTTACATAACGATTCTAGTCGCGACTGAAAGGATTATAGTAAATATTTTAGAGTTACATTATTCAATATGTGGACGCCAAATTTAGGAATAATTAAAAAAATTCATTTTCCCCAAAAAAATATCTCGAATAAAATGTAATTATTCTTAATGTAGGTTGCTCACGATATATGATCCTTCGAGCACTAGAGGAAGCGAAGATATAACAAAAATATTAAAATATTTCTTCTCGCCAATCCTTTCCTATCACCGTTTTATACTTTAAAGCGTATTTAGATATGAAATGTTCTTCTAAACGAGCACTGAAAATGACCTTGCCGAGGTAAGTTCCGCCAAATATATCCTATGTGTGTATAATTTTTTTCTTGTGTCTTTATTTAAAATGGATGTGCGGCCAAAATGACAATAGTTATAAGAGCGGAGTTTAAGGAGTAAACTGTATTCTGGGCAAGTGTACTTTTGAACAAATCGGATTAAATCGTTTAGTCAATAATGTTTTATTTAATGTAAATACAGAAACACGTCCGACGATATCGTTTGAGAAATTCGGATACATTTTGCAAAGCAAATTTCTGTCTTCGCGTAATGAAGTTGCGTTTTGTGTGGGGAATCCTTTTTTCTTTAATTTTGCACTAATCCATTTTTATATAAACATATTTTGAACTGCGTTCTTTTATGACAAGTCTATGAAAGCATACAAATTGTATTAACGCGCAGAAGTCGCTTAATGTCAATTTTTAAATATTATTTTTAGGGCTATAATACGGAAAAGAATTTACTGTCAAACTCGCTTTTCCTTTAATCGACATAATTTTGTCCGAATCACACATAATTTTAATTTGTATATGTAGAGCTAATTTTTCCGTAGAATATTAGATAAGGTTAGGCAAATTTCCGGAACTAGTGAGGTAAAACACTAAGTAAGAGATGTATATTTCACGTTCGCGAATATTTTACGTATACTTGATTAATTGGAAACTATGTATTTCCTTCCAACTACAGCAACTCATAAAACGGGTAGAGAACTACGCTTTTCTTTTCATTTGCGTATATTTAGCGCAAACAAATATAATCCTTCTTAAAATAATTTTCTGTGCAATTACTGATGTCTGCGTATTCAAATTTCATGGAGTACTCGGGCAATCTTTTAATTTGCTTTCTTTTGTTATGATAAAAGCACAAAAACGATTTTACATATTTCAAAAAACGAAAAATTTGCGACAGCTACATGGCCGTTAGTTTAAGCTAAAGAAGGATTATGGAATTTGTAAAGTGGAGTGTAACAGAAAGTCGTCGATTTATTCTTAAATCAGTTTTCTATCTTCACGTAAAAGAATATTTTTTGCCGTGCTCGATATTTACTGCTATATTTCCAAAACGTTTCAACACGCATTTAGCCAATATCAACTGTTTTGAATAAACATTTATATAATAATGCTGGTTGACGATAAATGTTTAATAGTATATGGGTTTAATACTAGTTTTTTTTTGAATGCGATAATATTAAATGCCTTCGTTTATTATTTCCAGCTATTAGGTTGACGGTAACGTTTTTAACCTGGTGTTTGTCTTAAAAGAGAACATTTAATTATGTTATAAACACATTCTAATTTTATGTATTCTGATTAATGCATTCGACAACCGGAAGAGAATATGCATACGCTTAATTGAATCTAGAAGTATGACTTCCTGAAATTCAAGTGCTCAGTGTTATGCTTTAGTATTATTTAGATGTACATTGATTCCTAAGAAGACCTTCGTGTAAAAAAGCAATCAAAAATCTTATAGTTTTCTTAAGTTGAATAAAAATACATATAACGTTTTGTTTTATATCATAGTATGCAACTGTGGGACAAATGCCGAAAGCTGTGCATTTAATCCTCAAGGAGAGAAAGTGTGCACATGTAAACCAAACTATGAAGAAAAAGATGGAACTTGTGAAGGTACCGTTCCTATTTTCAATTAAAATAAGTACGTATATAATAATACAAAATTACGAAATATGTGTATTAGCCAAAGTGTCAGAAATTTCTAAGAATAACGTTAACACACTTACATTTCTTCAAGAAGAAGTGAATTTCTTAAATTAGACAAGAGAAGAAGTGAATTTCTTTCTCATAAATTAAATTAGCTCATATACGTTAACAAAATTTTAAGAGCAAAGGTTTGTTCTAACAGCAATTTTCTATAGAAAATATACAGAATATCGATAGTCTGTGACAATTATGTATACAAACTTATAATTTACATAACGATTCTAGTCGCGACTGAAAGGATTATAGTAAATATTTTAGAGTTACATTATTCAATATGTGGACGCCAAATTTAGGAATAATAAAAAATTCATTTTGTCCCCAAATAAAATATCTCGAATAAAATGTAATGTATTCTTAATGTAGGTAGCTAACGATATATGATCCGTCGAGCACTAGAGGAAGCGAAGTTATAACAAAAAATATTAGAAATATTTCTTCCAGCCAATCCTTACCTATCACCGTTTTATACTTTAAAGCGTATTTAGATATGAAATGTTCTTCTAAACGAGCACTGAAAATGACCTTCCGAGGTAAGTTCCGCCAAATATATCCTATGTGTGTATACTTTTTGTGTCTTTATTTAAAATGGATGTGCGGCCAAAATGACAATAGTTATGAAGTGGAGTTTAAGGAGTAAAACTGTATTCTGGCCAAATGTACTTTTGAACAAATCGGATTCAATCGTTTCGTCAATAATGTTTTATTTAAGGTAAATATAGAAACTCGTCCGACGAAATCGTTTGAGAAATTCGTGTATATTTTGCAAAGCAAATTTCTCTCTTCGCGTAATGATGTTGCGTTTTGTTTGAGCAATACTTTTTTCCTAATAGAGATAATTTAAGCAATTAATTTGGCACTAATCCAGTTTTATATAAACATATTTAGAACTGTGTTACCCTGTGACAAGTCTATGAAAGCATACGAATTGTACTAACGCGCAGAAGTCGCTCAATGTCAATTTTTAAGTGTTATTTTTTGGGCTATAATAGGGAAAATAATTTACTGTCAAACTCGCTTTTCCTTTAATCGACATAATTGTGACCTATTCACACATAATTTTAATTTATATATGTAGAGCTAATTTGTCCGTAGTATATTAGATTAAGGTTAGGCAAATTGTGGAACTAGTAAGGTAACATTACGTAAGAGATGTATATTTCACGTTCGCGAATATGTTCCTCATACTTGATTAATTGGAAACTATGTATTTCCTTCCAACAACAGCAATTCGTAAAACATGTGCTTTTCATTCGCGTATATTTATCTCAAACACAATATAATCCTTTTTAAATTAATATTCTGTGCAATTACTGATGTCTGCGTATACAATTTTTATGGAGAACTCACGCAATCTTTTAATTTGATTATTGTTGTTATGATAAAAGCACAAAAACGATTTTAAATTTTCTAAAAACGAAAAAATTGCGACAGCTAGATAGACTTAATTTAAGCTAAATGCAAGATATGGAATTTGTGGAGTGTAACAGAAAGTCGTCGATTTATTCTTAAATCAGTTTTCTGTCTTCACGGAGACGAATTATTTTTTCCGTGGTCGATATTTACTGCTATATTTTAAAAACGTTTCAACACAACACGCATTTAGCCAATATCAACTCTTTTGAATAAACAATTTACAGAATAATGCTGGTTGACAATAAATGTGTTAATAGTATATGGGTTTAATTTTAGTTTTTTGAATGCGATAATTTTAAATGATTTCGTTTATTATTTCCAGCTATTAGGATGACGGAACGTGTTCTTTAACCTGGTGTTTGTCTTAAAAGAGAACAATTAATTATGTTATAAACACATTCTAATTTAAGTGTTCTGAGAAATGCATTCGACAATCGGAAGAGGATATGCATACGCTTAATTCAGTCTAGAAATATGACTTCCCGAAATTGAAATGCTCAGTGTTTTGCATTAGTATTATTCAGATGTACATTTGATTCTAAGAAGACCTTCGGGTAAAAGGAATCAAAAATCTTATATTTTTCTTAACTTGAATAAAAATACATATAATGTTTTGTTTTATATCTTAGAATGCAACTGTGGGACAAATGCCCAAAGCTGTGCATTTAATCCTGAAGGAGAGAAAGTGTGCACATGTAAACCAAACTATCAAGAAAAAGATGGAACTTGTGAAGGTACCGTTCCTATTTTCAATTAAAATAAGTACGTATATAATAATACAAAATTACGAAATATGTGTATTAGTAAAGTGTCAGAAATTTCTAAGAATAACGTTAACACACTTACATTTCTTCAAGAGAAGAAGTGAATTTCCTTTCTCCCAAATTAGCTCATATACGTTAACAAAATTTTAAGAGCAAAGGTTTGTTCTAACAGCAATTTTCTATAGAAAATATACAGAATAGCGATAGTCTGTGACAATTATGTATACAAATATATAATTTACATAACGATCCTAGTCGCGACTGAAAGGATTATAGTAAATATTTTAGAGTTACATTATTCAATATGTGGACGCCAAATTTAGGAATAATAAAAAATTCATTTTTCCCCAAAAAAATATCTCGAATACAAAGTATGTATTCTTAATGTAGGTAGTTCACGATTATGATCCGTAGAGCACCAGAGGAAGCGAATATACAACAAAAATATTAAAATATTTCTTCCGCCAATCCTTTCCTATCACCGTTTTATGCTTTAAAACGTATTTACACATGAAATGTTCTTCTAAACGAGCACTCAAAATGACCTTGCGAGATAAGTTCTGCCAAATAATCTCGTTTAATTTTTGGTAAGTTAAATTATCTAAGTGTGTAAATTTTTGTGCTTATTAAAATGGGTGTGCGGCCAAAACGGCAATAGTTGTGAATGCGGAGTTAAGGAGTAAACGTGTATTCTGGCAACTTCTTTTGTAAAAATCCGACGATATCGTTTGAGAAATTCGGATACATTTTGCAAAGCAAATTTCTGTCTTCGCGTAATGAAGTTGCGTTTTGTGTGGGCAATCCTTTTTTCTTTAATTTTGCACTAATCCAGTTTTATATAAACATATTTTGAACTGCGTTCTTTTATGACAAGTCAATGAAAGCGTACGAATTGTATTAATGCGTAGAAGTCGCTCAATGTCAATTTTTAAGTGTTATTTTTGGGATATTATAGGGAAAATAATTTACTGTCAAACTCGCTTTTCCTTTAATCGACATAATTGTGACCGATTCACACATAATTTTAATTTATATACTTGTAGATATAATTTTTCGCCGAATATTGGATAGAGGTTAGGCAAATTGCCGAACTAGTGAGGAAACACTACGTAAGAAATGTATATTTCACGTTCGCGAATATTTTCGTCAAACTTGCTTAAAGTTATAAAAGACCTAAGGAAGCCCCCAGTTTCTCAGCTGTTAGTTCAGAGCACCTACGGAATATTGAGATAGATGTGTCGTGTTTAACGTTCTTAATATTCTTAGTTTGGTGTGTAACTACTTATTATGCTCTGTGATACTGAAAAGAGCTGTACGAGTGCTTTTGTGGAAAGTTCCAGAGCTGTAAAGTGTTTCTTTTGCAAAAATAAGTTTCATCAAACTATCATCGGTTCTGTGTACCTTCATTCTGAAACGAACCTCAATCCAAGCAACAATATAATGAAGAGTATCCACTTCCTTGCTTGTGTGTGTGTCACTCATAGAGATCGACACTTTTACTCTGATCTTGATGAGTTTCCTTACTTGACTTTCAAAATAAGACGGAGTTACTGTCTATATAAGATTTCGAAAACCACCCCATAACTCAGAAATTCTTCCTCCCAGGGAGCATATATTAGAACAACTCAGAGTGTTTACAGTAGAATGATCCTTACGCACATATCACCAGTCTTAGATTCATAGCTTCATAGTTGCATTTATGCTACCAGTGGAAATCATGCATGCTAGGCAAGGAATTTATAATTGTATTCTATTAAAAAATATTAATCTTTCCGCGCAGTTTCAATTTTGAAATCTTGTCTCAGGTTCACGTCAATCTTGGGCCCCGAGGAATACCCAAGCAACAAGTTATTAGAACCCGCAAGCTCACTTTGAATAAAGGATCTCTTATATTAATTACTTATCGTTATCCGCTAAATCTGTGCAATGGACATGACTCAACTTGAGAATTTCCTGCTGAACGTAATAGAGGATACCATCAGCACGGGATACAGGTCAACAGGTGACGATGTTTTCATTCCTTGCATTCTGCTGATAATCATCATTGAAATATGCCCTTCGATTCCAAGGGATTGAGCTCCCCATCTGGCTTGCATATGCTATGGTTCCAACAAGAAACAGGACAGTCACTTTGTGTACACGTGCAAGTACAAGTAGGGGTACACCATGTTTATCACAAGGATCAAGTGTCGTCCATTCCTACTAACTTTCCCGAATAGCTTATCTTGGAACAGAAAATGAACGGCTCATGCTACCCGGGGACACCACCACTGCAGCAGGCATTAGGGCTCGTCCCGAATGCCCGAGTGCTTTGTTTGTACATTTATATATATGAAAAGTTACGTTATGCATTGTGTTAACTAAATATTACTTCTACATGGTGATACAACAGATTTTACACGATAGTGTCAAATTTGTTGCATACTGTTAAATCGCATGAATTACGATTCTTTTTACATGTTTATCTGAATTAGTATTTTGTGGGTTGAAGTTCTATGTTCTTTCAGTCAGTTCCGTGATGCTTACATTTCTTGCAAGAAATTAGTTTTACATACAGCATATTTTTACATAGAGTACGTATATGCATACATTTTGTTGTAATCATACAATTTGCAAAAGTCCAATTATAAACATTATACCCATATCAATTCTGTTAACATATCAGTGTTATGAACATACATGCTGTAGTGCAGTTACATACATTTGAATTTTTAATTTATTTTAAGATTTTACAGGTACTCAATTATTATATACAAAGTTCTGTGGGCGATTTGTGGTATCGTACGTTTCGCTAGTTGTAGTATAACAAGTTGTGAGAGAAACTGAGAGGGATTATGTTACATGGGTTTGCATAATTCCTGTCCTTTTGCTGCACGGAACTCGTTTACTTTTTGTATTTTTATTCGAAGGTGTTTATTTGCTCTTGTATAACTTAAAAACGGATCCAATTTCTGTGTCGGTTTTTTAAGATGTAGGTCCTCTGTTATGGGTCACTAAAAAACATAGTGCTCTGGATCGCTCCATTCTCCACATACACATGTGTCACTTTCAGAAATATTTCTTTCATAGAAATAGGTGGGGAAGGGGCCATGTCCGGTAATATACCAGTTTATGTAAGTGTTAATGCTATTGTTGTTCTCTTTGATACTTGGGATAAATCTAAAGTCCCTTCTGCCTTGTTGAGCGTTTTGCCACCAGTTTGTCCATCTTTTAATCATTACCTCATTTAGTGATGTTTTAATTTGGGATTTAGGAAATGTGAGGGTAGTTGGAATAGAGTTTTGATTGCTTGCTGCTTGGAATAGAGTTTTGATTGCTTGCTGCTTGGAATAGAGTTTTGATTGCTTGCTGCTTGGAATAGAGTTTTGATTGCTTGCTGCTTCTTTAGCATATTTGTCGGCTTCCACAAGGTCCCTGCATGTGCTTTCAGCCAAATCACTTTGTGTAGCAGATATTAATTTAGAAACACCATATTTATCGTAAGGAAAATTATACGAGGCCTGCTTCAGAGTCGGCACGTCAGATAGTTCATTCATTTACGCTGCGGGCGGAGAAACGGAAAACGTCGTGTACTCTCAAACTTTTCAACAAAAGGTGCGAAAAAAAAAGTTTGTTTTATATCTAAATAAAATCTACAGTTTTATTCACACTTAGTAAAGTTTCGCACAATTCACCTTGAACCAAAATAAGAGGAAAATTAATTAGATTTAAAAAAAAAAAAAAAAAAAAAAAAAAAAAAAAAAAAACTACACTAAATGAATCTTAAATGTTCTTTACTCTAAATGAAGCCTCACTCTGCTGAAATCAAAAGCAGCGTCGGGTACTTCAGCTTGTGTTTCGAATACCAAAATAACATTTAAAATTAATATCATTTATTTCTTTAGTTTTAACTGAGAATGAGTTATATTAGTTATTAATTATGGGTGAATTTTATTTGGAATGAACCTGAATTTCGAAATGTGAAAAGAAGAATCAAATAAGTTTAATAAAAAAAAGAGAGATAATAAATATATACCAAACTGAATTAACACTGAGGTGCTAAAATTTTGAGAGCTAATTTTTTAAAAACTACTCGTGTGACCTTTTACAAAACTGGGTAGTTTTGCTTAATTAGCGTCGTAGGATTGAAATACCGAAAAAAAATTGGCATGTCATTTCAAAAAAGTCCGGTTTTGTGTCAAAATACCTATATTAGAGCAATGCTTTATATAAATTTAATAAATGTCCTTTAATACATGTTGCGCTTTCGAGTCATGAAAAAGGCAAGTTGAATTTCGTCAATCAACCCACTAGAACGGGGGAAATAGAACTGTCCTTGTTTTTTTTCGGGGGGGGCGGCGCAGTGTACTATTGCATGTTAAAATCCTGAGTGAATTAAAATAATTACTAAATTATTAACATCAACTACTACATTTATTAATTTTATATATGAGCAGTACTGATGCTTTGTAGGATGGGAAAACATGAGTTACTTTTCAAGTTTACTATAAAGCTAAGAAAAAAAAAACAATTCAGTTCCGTATGTAACAAGTGCTTGAATCGATAATTCTTTTTTTTGACCTCCTCTTTAATGTAAAAGAGCCTTCGATAATGAAGTACGTATGCCTTTTTTGAAGACAATCTCTTGCAACAGTCTTGTTGTAATAATTAAAATATTACACACATGTTTACACATGAGAGAAAACTCGCGGCACATATTAAAAATTAACACTTTAATGCGCAAATAATTAAAGTCATGTATTGAAAATTAACTCAGGCAAGCGAAAATAGTCATGTATTGAAAATTATCTCAGTAAAGTTAAAATAAAGTCATGTAGTGAAGAATTAACTCAGTTGAAGCGAAAATAATGAAGTCATGAAAAAATCAAAATATATGATTTGGTATTGATATCATATAGTCGGTCAAAGCTGTCTGATTGTCCTAAAAAACGAGTGAGTTTTATTCATAATCTAGGTCAATTTCATGTTAC